GAAATGGGCACGTAAGGGAGAGATCATCGGATGTATATACAAGAATTAATTGTACTTACCTTTTGTAACTATCTTCCCTGAAGAAGTAGTTCCTTCACACTCACGTCACCGCCTCATGTCACTGTCTCATCACACTTAAAAATTTTAAACTCTCTCCGCATAGATAGGCATCTCCCAACACACCTTGACACCTCTCTACACACATAACTTCTCTCTTCTAGTTGTTGTACCTCTCCCAAAGCATACATCTCTTGGAACTTTTTCTCTCTTTATTCATCAATAAAGATCCCTGGCTACCACTGTCATTTTTCGAGAGTGGAGTAGGGCACCTGGGCCGGAATCACTATATATATGTGTGTTGGTCTGATATTTACTGTTTTAAAATCAATTATTTTATTAATTCTCTTATTTATTATATCATATCACACACTCGACTGTTGATCATATACGAGACAATTTTATGTATCATTATATTGTATTGAATTACGTTATTATCTTAAATTTTTTTTTCTCAACTAATAAAATTAATATTAATTATCTATTGTGCAAAATTAACCGTTAATGGTGAAAAAAGAGAAGTGAAACCCAAATTGGGAAATAGAAAGTCACGTGAAAAAATTCAGCAGGAAAAGGACAAGAATATATATGACAAATAAAACAAAAGGTTCAAATCAAATCAATGCAAAGCAAAGCTGGTTTGAGGTGCTTCCACCATTAAATTTCGTACGCCAATACGCTTCCAAAACCACCACTGCTGTTTTACCCCCCTACCAATAAAGTTTGCCCTGTAAAAGTTCCTCAACCTTATCTCTCTCACTTTGTTTTCAACAATAAATACAAACGCCTTTTTAAGATTTTGCTGCCAATTCAAAACGTCATAGCGTGAATAATTTATTTTTTATAAAATTAAAAATAAAAATATGTATATATTAGTTTGTTCATTTTTTACTGTTAAACTAAAAAATAAAATAAAATTGAATAATCGGTTTGTTTTTGGTTAGAAATTAAAATGTATGGATTGGCTTAGTATTCAAATAAGCGTTGTATTAATAAATACGTTTAGAGCCATAATCCCTTTAACCACGTAATTAGGCCATAAAACAGTAAAAGAGCGGATATAATTCTTCGTTTTCATGAATAAAACTTCCATCTCACCCTATACATGCCCAATGTGCAAAAATTCGAACACATAATTTAGAATTTCCCTAAAAAATATAAAACACGAATTTAACCACATAGAGAGGTTAATTTTACACGAAAAAGGTATATATATTTCTTCATTTACATCTTCCTAATACACGCCCAATGAAATATTAGTACGAGCATGAAACAGACCCTAGAAACAGTAAATCACCAATGTTATGGGTGTATTTTCTTGTCCACAGAGTCACTAGTCATAATCTCTAGGGGTGATTTAGTAGTTGAGTTAACATTTAACAATTTAAAGGTCTCAAATTTAATCTTTTTCCGCACTTTTAGGGAGTAACTAATTTTGTATAATCTTTAACAAAAAAAAAAGAAGTCCCTAGCCGTGCCATACGTGTTTGATGGATTTTGTGCCAAGAACTACTCTATTGAATTGGCAGTTTCCAAGTCTCGTGAATCTAGGGGCACTGGTGGGAAGTACATAGATAACATGCATGGAATATGTCCAAGTCAGTACAGCTTTGTAATTTTGGCCCCCAGCTTCCATGAACCCTCCTCCTTCTACCCTCAAATTTGGACAGGAGAGAAGTATTGGGTGGGTGATGCGGGGGGGAATCTGTGCAGAGACAGACACAGTCCATGCGGCACGTTCTTTCCCTGATAATCCGATTCCGCTCCACATTTATATATACAGTCTATAGAATTATATTGAGCTACCCTCCTCTGCACACAAATAATATTGTATGTCACTTCCCAAACAAAAAAAAAACAGAAGGTAATATTGTATGTCTCAAAAGTGTAACCGATGGAGAGAGAGAGAGAACCACCATGTGATAAGGGATACTTTTGACTTAAAATTTTGAATGTGCGGGTGATTTGATGCACAGTAATGAGATAGTGGCATTTTGATTGACGCTCAATTATTGTTTTCAAGTTTGGGGACGATGAAAGCTAGGGGATCACGATAAAGGGTTAGAAGGGAGGTCGGAGGTTTCTTTAATGATTTTCCTCTAATACTTAAGTCAGTATTTGACAAGGAAAGAAAATATAATATTCAATATTGAATTGTGAAAGCGTACCATATGTTTTTGCTTAAAAGTGATATTTATACTTTCTTGATGGATGAGTGCTTCTATCAAGGACATTCATACACTTCTCTTTGGTAGGAGGACCCTTGATTGGCTCACCCTTAAGGTAGTAGATGTTTCTTTGACCTTGTCAGGCGGCTAGGCATCAAGCAAGGCGGCCCATTGACCTTGATACTTGACTTTTTGCGTGTATAACAATCCGGCATACATTAATGAAATTAACCCTTCGACATCTGGATACTTGTCGATCATTAACACTTGTGTCGTAAATGTTGTATTCCCAAGTGGGCATCCCCATTGGCCTATTCTCCCGTCAATATTCTGACTTTTTTGATCTCAATAATCTTTGGTCTGAACTGAGAAGGTCCCTCGTCGGCATTCATGATACTGCATTTCTTGTGACGATGACAAGGTCAGCGTCGATTGACATGAAATTCTCCAAAATCCTTCGTAGGCACCAAGGATATTTTAGTACTCATCTCCTGTGACAAAACTCTAAGGTCAAACATATCACATTATGCAAATCATTACTTTTGTCATTATTAACAGAATACACCACGTATCTACTTTTGATTAGTCTAACAAATAATATCGTGTCAATGAATATATTACACTTTAACATCATTATTCTTAATGAAATCTCGCCTCTTGATTCTAAAATCTCATATACAATTGATACTGCATTTGAGTATGGTTTTTTTTTTTCAACAATCAAAGTGTCTGAATTAATATATACGCATCTCGATTAATTTTTATTCAGTCCGGAAGATAAGTCATCCACGCTGGGAGACTAAGATATTCATGAGGGATAATCTCTCGTAAACTGACCTCAAGAAGTTATCAAAATTGGAATTCAAAATATTTGAATTTACAGTTCATCGATATTATTATTTGAATTATCCCTTAAAATTATCCGACTAAGACCTAAACACATAATAAACCTCAAAAATTAAAAGAGCAAAAACAGTAACGCTTGGAATGCAAAAAGAAATTAGAATAAGTAGAATAAAATTTATATTGTGTTGAGTTATACCTCCATTGTTCTATGTTTATTCCTCCACTAATACTATTTGAACACAATCTATTTTAACAAAGAAAAAAAAAATACAAAGATTTATTGTCAATTTAAGAATTATAAATAATTAAGTAAATAAATTAAATTAAAGTATTTGGTCTTATTTATTCCTCGACATATAAAATCCTCTATCAGATTTGTTAAAGGAGATCCATCCATCCATCCATCCTATCACAATAGAATAGAGATTACGGTAACACAGAATCATGTGATGTGTGTGGGGGAGACAAGGAAGAGGGGGATCCACTGCGTCAAAAAATTCATCATTTGAATCAAAATCAGTGGAGCAGAAAACGAGAAATAATTAAAATAAATGTGGTGGATCCGACGGTCACGCCAACCATTTTATAGGGACAAACCCGAGACAGCCTCCCTCCCTCCCTTCCCAAGATTCTAAAACCACGTCACCGTTCCAACGTCTAATCGCAAAATACCACAACACAACCATCCATTAGGACCCTTACTCTCTCTCTCTCTCTCGGCATGCTGGGAGGGAATGGGACAACGATAACTCCCCTCCATTTTTCTTTTGTGATTTTTGTCCGCATCACTCCTAACAATAACTGCATTCTCTCTCTCTCTCTCTCTCTCTCCAACAAAAGAAGATAGTATGTAATGTAGATATTCCTTATACTTTCTTTTTCAATTAATTCCTAATGAATAAATAAACGACCAATATCATGAGCAAAATGATTTATATATATATTTATATATTTCACAGGGTCCAAATTAACACAAGCAGGCAGCATTTTAAGGGCTACCTGACCGCGCAAGGCATCTCTTTAAAAGGTCCAATACCAACAGATTTCACATGACATGCTACATCAATCATTCAATAGCCCCACTTAATAGAGTTAAGATTTAAGATTTAAACTCAAGATGTAACTATTAATTTTAGAATTAATTGTATTAGAGGTTCTTAAAGTATGATGTTTACCTTATTTTAGCTCATAATATTTCAATTGTATTATTTTGGTCCCTGAAATATTGAATATGTTTCTATATGGTCATTCAAGCAGACAAAGTCCAAATTGCTATCTATTTTTTTAAAATAAACTTATCACGCAATAGCTTAATATGTATAAAAAATACTTTTAATAACTCTTAAACAAAATTTGGTTAATTCTTAACAAAAAAATGTATAGTATGAGTAATTTTTGACCAAAATTTGAATAACTTATGATCAAAATTGTATAATTTAAATAGATATTTAACCAAAATTTGAGTAAAAATTGATCTAGAGAGTTATCCAAATTTTTTTTTGTCCATATTTAAATATCATGTGACAAGTTTATGATAAAATATTATTAATAATTTAGACACTGTCTACATGACCGACTATATAAAAATATATTTAATATTTCATGGATCAAAATAATACAATTTAAACTTTAGGAATCAAAATAAAACAAATTTCATACTTTGCGATTATCCCTTAATTTTACTAATAACAATCTGCTCCATATTACACATTTACACCAAAATTAAAATGAAAAAAAAAAAAAAAAAGGCTACAACCTTTCAGCCAGCGCGACGAGCTTCCATAGCGCGTAAACCGCAAACGCACTCCCATCCCATCCCATCATAATCACCGGACCCACATCACAAATGAAAAGCACCTTTCAAAAGTAGCAGAAGTAGAGATTCCATATCTTTCAGGTAGACGACGAAGAAAAGAAAGTAGATTTAAACATTAGTTTCAGAAATTTTAGTTAGAATAACTAACAAGAAGAAGAAAAAAAAAATCAAATGGAGTCTTCGCATATGTACATTACAATCTAAAATCTGTCAAAAAACCAAATGAACTCCAACAATGTCATGCACTATTGCCTCAACAAAACAATAAGAAGCCATAACCGAACCTTCAAATCGAAAAAAGCTAAAGCAATGTTAAAAGGTGAGCGTTACCAACTCTATCCCATTTGATTGAGAGCATCAAAATCGATCCATCCGGTTCTTACTGGAACTCTGTTGACCTTTATTTCCTCCTCCATTACCAACACTAGAGCCACCAGCCTCCCTCTTTTGTGGTGAGGAAAACAATGGGAACCCAAATACACCAGACTTGGAAGAACCTCTCAGGGAACAAACCGGAACGTTAAGAACCGGAGTTACACGAACGTTGGCTGAATAAGACCTCTCCATTCCTCGGTGTTTGAATCTAGGCCCACTGTTGAAACTGCTTGGACTGCTTGAGCTACGCTCCAAGCTATGAAAGATAATCTTTCCTGAAGAGTTCATACGTGGACTATCTACAGAGACTCCACGACCAGTAGTTGTCGTGGGGTCCGGTGCTCGGCGCAATGGGCTCCGGCCCACCCCTGTACCCACCGGATTCTCGGACGATAATGCCCTTGGCTTCCTGACTCGAACCCTCGGCGGGTTAGAATTTGTATTAGAGTTTCGAGTAAGAGACAATGGATTGTGGTTGAGACTTGGCTTCTCAGAATCTATCGAATGCCTGGGTAGATCATCGTGATCATGACCGGACGATGAGGATGATAATGACAAGCGAGATGATATTGTAATGGACTCGTTATCTGCGTCCTTTAGCAATGGAAGGCTCAGAGATGAGTCTAAAGCTGACTTTGAAGATTTAGAGCTACGGTGAAGAAAATGCTTCAAAGATTTACCAGTGTTCACAGACGACACCGATTTGTGGTTATCTTGCTTGGCATTGCTGTTTAGGTAGAGTTTCTTCAAACCTAGAATCTCTTTCCAGCGACTGGAGCACCTAGGAGCTTTAGGAGAGAACAAGTACGGATCCATGCTCGATGTCTCACTTCTCCGGCGAGTTTTCGGCGCATCAGGCGATCCCATCTCTACTGAGGCAGTTGTCGATGTCATGGAAGGTGGGATCATGGACAGTTGAAGGGGAACTAGCTTGCCGTCGGAGAAGAGTTCGTCGGCGGGGAGCATTTTCACCGGATCTTCGAGTCGGAACTCGAAATCTCCCACGTCGTTGCCGAAAACCTCCGGATCTGATTCCTCCCCCTGGACTTCCTGTTGTTTTTCAGCGTGAAGCGATGTCTTGAGCTTCTGTAAGGGGATTTTTGATGATTCGTCGCTGGGAAACTCTCTGCTGAATGAGATTCGAGGACCGAGCCAACCATAAGAGGGATAAGTTGCTGGAGAACATTCTAGGAAATTATCCGGCGACAATCCGACGTTGTTTACGCAAGCTGACGCCATCACCGTCGATCATGCAACAAAATGAAACTCAGTAGAATCACCGATCAATCACAATAGCGCACGCAAAGTGCGAAAATGGACACCGTACAGCACTCTATTCACGTCATTGGAATACGCCAAACTCTGTGAGATCTAGAGAGAGAGAGAGAGGAAGTTATTGTTCGCGCATGGTTAGGGTTTGAAGGTTCGCTGTGTATAGTATATGTTGTAATAGCGTGTGCCCCCAGAGGAGTAACACAGAGTGGATATAAATACAAAGAGCAATGATACACTAGGGGTGTTATATTTTGACAGCTGTGGTTCTGGTCAAATCTTTGGCTCGAGGCGACGTGGCTCTGAGCTTTCTTTTTATTTTTTTTCTTTTCTCAAGGTTATTGTATTAACTTATTCTTATTTCAATTAAAAATTAGACATTTACTCTAAAATTAAGTTTTTTTATTTATTTTTTGAATAAAAGACTGGAGACGAAAGAAAGCGGTCGGACCACCCTATAAACTCTCATTAGTAGAATCATTTTTTCTTTTTGAATAAAAGGGTGGGGTAAATGAATGCGCCCAAAAATCACCCCTATAAACTTTCACTAATAGAATTATAAGGCCCCTAATCGCGTTTATTATTTTTCTCAAAAATGAACCTAGCTTGTCTAGCATAGTGGTTAATCACTGAATCTCAATTTGAACTGCAAGACTTAAACCGCTAATCTCAAAATTAGAAGTTCGACCAGTATCCCACTTGATGGTCGATACTAAAATATTTATAAAGAACACATTCCTCGTGACATGGCTTCAAAAAAATTATTAATATTAAATTCAAGACGTCTGATGTGATCCCAATGAATGGTCCGTAGCTATTAATAGATTTGGATTGGATGATAGGATTTTCGGTTAAACATTTAAGAATGTAATTGTTTAAATTAAAATGTTATAGAACAAATGAAAATTATGTAGATATTTTAAAGGTATGAATAATAAATTATTGGCTTTTTTATGGAGGTGAGTAACGTGCTCAGAAGTATCCATGGTTAGGATGGTAAATTTGCTTCAACGAGTTTTTCCATATGAATAAAAGCTATCTTATTCTTATCCCAATTGCCAACCGGACTCCAGCATTGAACCAGTTGATGGGTCACCATTTGGCAGATCAATCGGTTTACCGATTTCAGCCTTTCCTTTTAATTTTTTTTTTTTTCTGATATATTGTGGAATTTTAAATTTGGGTTCTCTCCAAGCTTAATTATTTTGGTAGTAAGGTTTTTGAAAAATATTTAAATAACTTTTGTTGGTATTGCTACACAAAATAAATAATATTTTTTTATGAAATAAAATTACGTATATTTAATCATTTCTATTTCCTAAATTACAAGATTATCATACACGAGCTATTTTTTAAAAATTTCTTGATCAATGCAACACTTTTCACTAGGAAGATAATGGCTTCAAATGATTGGTCATATTTGGACTATGCTTTAGAGCTAGAAAAGGTTGAATATTAAATTTCATGGTTCTATGCATAAATTATGTATTTGCCTCCATGATTTCGGGAAAACTGTTTCCTAAATTACAAAGAAGTCAATTCATAAGCCTTTGGGGTAGGTAAGTGGCAACGAAAACGAACTATAAATATAAACGTTCTGAATTCAAATTTTGTCAATCGGAGAACAAATTAGTAAAACTGTGTGTAAATTTGCTCAAATACTCATGAACCACCCATTACCATTGAAGGAAAAAAAAAAAGAGAAGTCAATTCATGCACTAACAATCATGCGCGAAGGGTTTACCAATTTCTAGGCAATAATAGAATTCCATGACATAAAACGAGTAACAATCAATTTAATGTGATTTTAAAAGATTCCAAAGCGTCTAAGTCCAAGTAGAATTACTCATCAAAAGTCGTTGAAGTAAAATTTTGCGAAAATTGCTAATGCGATTGGAAACATAGAAGCATTTAGAGACACAATGCAGGGGAAGCTCCAAGGGATCAAAATTGCAAGAAACTGTGACCCTACCACACATCTCGTGTGTGCAGATGACATCCTAATTTTTGCTGGGCTACAGTTGAACAAAGAAAAATCCAAGATTTATTATAGTCCTAACATCCACTGGACTATGATTAGTTCTGTCAAAACCACTTTTGGGCTACAGAAGGGGCTACCAAATGCAACATACCTGGTGGGCTTACCGCTGATGATAAACAGAGCAAGCACATGAGCATTCCAACCCATCATTGAGAAATTGGATTCTAAACTACAGGGCTGGAAATCCAAAATCCTTTCCTATGCAGGCAGGGCCACCTTGATCAAGTCTACTGCCTTGGTTTATGCATGTTTATGCCATGCAATTCTTTAAACTTCCACAAACTACATGCAACACACTTGATAGAAAGATCAGGAATTTTTGGTGGGGCAATACAGAGGAACACATATCAATGGCCATAAAATCATGGGACTTCATCTGCAGGCCTAAACAAGTGGGGGGACTGGGCTTCAAGAAGACACAAGACATCAATTAGTCACTGAAGGCAAAATTAGGCTGGCAACTAATAGCAAACCAAACCATGGACAACACAATTCCCAAAGAAATACTGTTCTAGAGCTTCTTTCTTCTATGTTCAAAAGCAGTCTCATGATTCATCAATGTGGAAGCAAATCTTGACATGTAGACCACTAATTGAAATAGGAACAAGTTATTTGGTTGGGGATGGGAAATCCATCAATATCTGGACTGAACCTTGGGTCCCAAACCTGTCTTCCTACAGAGTGCAACTAAATCAGGAAGTGGATCTTTTACCAATGAAGGTTTCTGAACTTGTTAACAGTCAAACAAACTCCTGGAATTCGAGCTTATTAGCCTCAATCTTCAATCAGACCAAAATGAAAGCCATCCTGCAAATACAAATCCCAACCTACCCAAAGAAGACCGGATTGGATGGCTACCCAACAAATCAACAGAGTCCACAACCAACACTGCTTATATACTGCAAAGGTATGGTCAAGACTGCACAAGTTGCTACCTTAGTCAAATGGATTGGAAGAAGTTATGGCAGTCACCACTACATGAGAGACATAAAGTAATGCTCTGGAGGATGGTCATAGACAGCATCCCAACCAAAGCACTCCCAGCAACAAGAATGCAAATCTCAAACACACAATGCAATTCTGCCATCAAGGTCCTGAAACAGATGTCCACCTCTTCTTTCTATGTCCATTTGCAAGATCGATTTGGTTTACCAAGTGAGGATTTCAGACAGACTACAACTCCCATCTTACAATGCAAGAGTGGATACATAACATAATAAATTCATCCATACTTTTTGGCCTAATCAGTCCTTCCTTTTCACATTTGGCCATGTTCACAGCAATACTAGCAACTATAATATGGACATAGAGGAATAAGGCTCATTTTCAACAGAGCAAGCTGGAACCCCACAGATTATGCAACAAATTTCCAAAACCTTTGATGAATTCATGCTTGTTAAACACCATCCTACCAGTCCGTCCTCTCAACTGCAAGACAGGGCTTCAGTGCCAGAACAAAAATGGGAAGTACCACAAGAAGGAGAGATCAAGGTCAACATAGATACAGCAGTGGGACTGAGCTGATCATGTGTTACAGCATTTACAA